CCCCGACCCCCCCAAGGGTCGGGGGTATCCATGATGGATTTCTCCTGCGTTACAAAAAAAAAAAAAAAGAAAAAAGGAAGCATTTTCAGCAAAAATATTTCGGACAAAAGTTATATAATTTCAAGTGGGACATAAAACAACTATATTATTTTGTTTACAAATGACACCACTTTCGAGATATTCACTGATCATTATTTTCCTCAAATGGAAACCCCAATTTTGTGTTACATCGTCTTTTTCTACCAATTAATTTGAACAACTTTCGCCTGAAACCTTTTTTTATTTACCTATTTTTTGAGATATTTAAGGAAAATTTGTTAACTTTTTCAATATTTAACTCACGATATCTCGCTAACTATTTGTCGGGAGAAAAAGTGAGACTCTTTTGCTCTACTTGGTCTCAAAAATATATTATTGCAATAACGCCTTGACTTTTGTTAATTTGATGATTTTAAAATTTCCAAAAGTTAGTAAGTTAACAAAAGTCAGGACGCTATTATAATATATTCTTGAGATTAAATAGAGCAGAAAAGTCTAGTACCACTTTCTCTTCCGACAAATAGTTAGCGAGATATCGTGAGTTAAATATTAAAAAAGTTATCAAGTTTTCCTTAAATATCTCAAAAAATAGATAAATAAAAAAAGGTTTCAGGCGAAAGTTGTTCAAATTTTCCTTAAATATGTTAAAAAATATTAAGTAAATAAAAAAAATATTTCAGACAAAAGTTGTTCAAATTAATTGATAGAAAAAGATGGTATAATAAAAAATTAGGGTTTCCATTTAAGAAAACTAATATAATAACAGTAAATATTTCGAAAGTGACTCCATCTGTAAACAAACTGATATTGCTAATTTAGTTCCACTTGAAACCATACAACTTTTGTCTGAATCATTTTTCCATATCTTCCATATTTTCCGAGATATTTGACTGTCAAAAATAAAATGGGATACCCTGTATATACAGGGTGTCCCATTTAACCTGACAAATCGTAATATCTGGAAAACTACATGTCGGATCAAAAAAAGTGGGTAATGAAATTTGTTCGTCTCGAAGGGGGATATCCAATGATATCATACTCGACCTCCCACCTCACTTTCGGGGGGTGGGGGTGGGGGGCAACTTTGAAATCTTAAATGGGAAGCCCCATTTTTTATTGCAGATTCGGATTCTACGCCACAAAATACGTAAGTTTCGTCCGAAACTTTTTTTTTATTCGTGATAGATGGCGCTGTAATCGCAAAAAATTAGATTTTCTGCAATTCTTCAGAAATGATCATTGGATTGAAAAATAAAAAAATACCTGTTCAATATTTTTAAAAATATTTTTAAAAAACAACAGTTATTCTCCCCCATCCCTTCGGGGTAGGGTGGGTGGTAACGTTCAAATCTCAAATGAGAACCCACATTTTTCATTGCAGAATTAGATTTTACGTAAAGTTTTTATGGAAACAATTTTTTTCATTCGTGATAGATAGCGTTGAATTTTTCCGAGAAACTACTTTTAGCGTTAGGAACAACGACGAGGACGTAGTAGCTTTCTGTTCCCTTCGGGGTGCTTGTTTTAGATGAGTCCCCTCGCCTCTCACCATCGGGGTGCTTGTTTTAGGTGAGTGAAAAAATGAAAAAAATTGTTTCCATAAAAACTTCACGTAAAATCTAATTCTGCAATGAAAAATGTGGGTTCTCATTTGAGATTTGAACGTTACCACCCACCCTACCCCGAGGGGATGGGGGGAATAACTGTTATGTTTTTTAAAAATATTTTTAAAAATATTGAACAGGTATTTTTTTATTTTTCAATCCAATGATCATTTCTGGAGAATTGCAGAAAATATAATTTTTTGCGATTACAGCGCCATCTATCACGAATAAAAAAAAAAGTTTCCAACGAAACTTACGTATTTTGTGGCGTAGAATCCGAATCTGCAATAAAAAATGGAGATTCCCATTTAAGATTTCAAAGTTGCCCCCCACCCCCACCCCCCGAAAGTGAGGTGGGAGGTCGAGTGTGATATCATTGGATGTCCCCCTTCGAGACGAACAAATTTCATTACCCACTTTTTTTGATCCGACATGTAGTTTTCCAGATATTACGATTTGTCAGGTTAAATGGGACACCCTGTATAATGGTCACGAGCTACTTATAACCTCGATGATATCTGATAATTTATGCACTAAATCTTTCAATTCTTCGAGTATTATAATTGCAACGTTTGCACCTAACACAGTGCCTCGTGTATATCCCAAAAGTAACGGACCACCCTAATAATTCTTCAATATTGAAGTCTCAAGGAAAATGATCTCAACAAAAGTTGTAGAGATTTAACTGAGCTATCTTATGATGACCTTGACTTTGATCTAGACTTCTATTTTCAAGGTCATTTGAAAGTCAACTTGCGTTTTTTAAATAGGAACCCTTATTTTTTATTACACTGTTTTTTTCTACTAGTTAATTTGAACAACTTTTGTCTAAAACGTTTTTTCATTTGTCTAATATTTTTTGAGATATTTGAGGAAAACATGATAACTTTTTCAATATTTAACTTACGATATCTCGCTATTTGTCGGAAGAAAAAGTGTTACTAGACTTTCTTGCTTTATTTAATCTCAAGAATATATTGTTACAATAGCGCCCTGACTTTTGTTAACTTATTGACTTTTGGAAATTTCAAAATCATCAAATTAACAAAAACCGGTATTGTAACAATATATTCTTGAGACTAAATAAAGCAAGAAAGTCTAGTAACACTTTTTCTTCCGACAAATAATTAGCGAGATATCGTAAGTTAAATATTGGAAAATTTATCAAGTTTTCCTCAAATATCTCAAGAAATATTAGACAAATAAACATGTTTTAGACAAAAGTTGTTCAAATTAACTAATAGAAAAAAACAGTGTAATAAAAAATAAAGGTTCCTACTTAAAAAACGCAAGTTGACCTTTAAATAACCTTGAAAATAGAAGTCTAGATCAAAATCAAGGTCATCATAAGGTAGCTCACTTAAATCCCTACAACTTTTATTCCTTGATTATTCCTTGATTTATTCCTAAGATTATTTTCCTTGAAACTTCAATACTGAAGAGTTATTAGGGTAGTCCGTTACTTTTGGGACATCCTGTATATATGTATAAACTTGGATAAAACATATTTAAAACTCCAACTTTTATATACTAACTAGATTGCTGGCTCTGGACAATAGAATAGTAGTGAGGAATAAACGTCATATCATTTGGAATGTGCACAGTATACAGGGTGGTTAATTATAAGTTGCCAACCCGAAATATGAAGGTAGATTAGGTTAAGATAAACATATAAGTCCCATACCGTTTTACGAGATTCGCAATAATTATCGAGTTATTAATGACAGAAATCTGAGGAATGGGAGCGCGCCGACATAGATGATTGGAGAAGCGTTGCAGCTACTCAGGCCACAGCGCGCCGCGCGGCCCACTCGACCTAGCAACTGTTGGCGGCGTGCGGCGAGACGTAGGTCCAGCGAGATAAAACAACGAATAGCAGCGCATTGTCTTCCCCTCGCCGCGCACCGGCAACAGTTGCTGGATCAACTGGGCCGCGCTGTGGTGCGATTCTGTAACTCGTTATTGGAGTTAACGACAGTTTCGTTATTGTTGCGCAGCTTTTCTACGGTATACAAAAGCTGCGCAACGATAACGAAAGTGTCGTTAACTCCAATAACAAGTTGCAGAATCGCGGTACTGCGGCGTAAGCAGCTGCAACGCTTCTCCAATCATCTATGCCGGCGCGCTACCACTCCTCAGATTTCTGTCATTAATAACTCGATAATTATTGCGAATCTCGCAAAACGGTATGGGACTTTTATGTTTGTCTTAACCCAATCTATCTTCACACTTCGGGTTGGCAACTTATAATCACCCACCCTGTATATGTGTGTGTATATATTCACGACTATTCTAATCAGAAAAATATTGCGTCAAGTTTCATCTTAATACTTAAAACTACTTAAAATAAGACGAATGTTTTATAATTAAAAACCAAATATCATCATCGTGGAAATAAATTAATAATGTGCATATTAAATACAAAAAATGCTGACTTTGTTATAAAGCTTCAATATTTGGGGTTTTGTGTCATATTTTTTCTAATTTATAGAAAAATTTTAATTTGTTTCTAACATTTCTTTAAAAATCAAGTATCATTGTCCTCAGTCAAGTTCTCAGAGATGAAGTATTATTTAGTGACATAACAGTTTCGTTCGACTTTTTTACTAATAGTTTAGTTTTCAAGAAGTTAGAGAATAATTGCATAAATCTAACAAATAGACATTTGATATTAATTACAAACTTCTAAGAAGAGTAACTGTTCGAAATATAGTTGTCAATAATATGTTTGTAATTATGATGAGGCAATAAAGCCTTTAATTTTATCCGAAACTTATTATAACCGCTAATATATATTAAATTTAGAGTACGAACATATGTTTATAAAACAAACATAGATCTATATTAGTTAATTTAAAAGGAAAACAAGTACAACCATTCAAAATCTGAATACCGTTGCTAATTGGAACACTCATCTTATCTGTTTTTCATATATTTTTATATTTTGTTTCCTTCTATTATATATTTTAGATGTTCATTATTTACTGACTGTTTGTTTGTTACTTTTAAATGTTCAATATCATGCATCATAAATTCTAACATTGACTTCAGCAATAACCATGTGATTTAAACACGTATGAATAAATTCCGAATGATATCCCATATTTGATATACAGGGTGTCTCAGAACTTTGGGACACGGGCTCCGTAGGGACATAGAGCTAAGTGAGAGGAACAAAAAAGTCCTCTACCATAATGTGAAAAAAATGGTAATATTTACTATTATATTTGATTTTTAATAAAAAAGCCTCAGAAGCTCTTCTATCCGGATGAAGATTAACACATAAAAGTCTGTGGTTCAAGCCGTCAGTTCAAACGAATGCACTTCCAAGAAAAATCGGTTGTCTTATGTGCTCACCTTGAAAATACCCGGAACCTTCGGCATTAGGGCTTCCTTGTGCAGTGCGATAACCTGCTCGATGCCGCGTATTAAGTACCTCTGCGCCTTGATATCGTCATGGGTAAAGCGTAGCAACAGTACGCGGTACTTTTTCGCCTGGGCAGCGATCGATTGATCAAACAGTAGCTCAGCAAGGATCAACGGCGCCTTGGTCTTGATCTCCAGTCTCTCTGCCTCGGCAATTAGTTCCTTATGATTGTTATCGAGCTGACCGGCGTCGCGGCGACACTTGACCAGTTTGTAGAACATGTCCATGCGCTCCTTCTCGGTCTTTTCGAGATCATCGCTCATAGTCATACCTTTCGCGCCATCCGTCAGATCTTGAAGACGGGCACGTACCGCCTCCTCTGACACGTCCACCGCCCACTTATCGTCATCTTCCTCGTCATTTGCCAGATTTCGCTTGGGTAGCTCCGCTATTACAAAATCCGCAGCATTGTTGGCGTCGTGAACGCTCTCTGGTGAACCGGACCGATTGCCGTTAGTGGTGGCGGTGGCAGCGGCGATCGGCGTCGTCGTTGTCGGAGAAGCGGCAATGGCGTTGTTGCCGGTAGCGGCAGTGGCGGCGTCAGCACCATTCGCTGCGCGCTTCGAGCGTTTGCCCCGCTTACCTTCCGTTAGCGAGCTACCTTGCACCGCTGGATTCAAGCTCGGTGGGTTCTTGAGGATGTACGTATTGAGTTTGTGATTGCTCTCTAAGAGGCCATGATGACCGCAGGCCTTGCAACCCTGTGAAATCGTGCCTTTCTTGGAACTGACCATCAGTTCGGTCTCCGGATTGTCACATGCCGGGCATAATACATATCTGCGGATGAATCCGTCGAGCAGGTCCTGCAGTTTTGTGGCATCGTGAGAGCCGTTCACAATGAACCGCTCGTTCTTGAAGTCAAATTGCGTCTGAGCACCCAATTCGCAGCCGAAATATTTAGTAGGATACGTGGCCGGCCGACCAATCGCCTTCGCCACGTCTACCATGTTGACGATTACGGTCTTGATGCCGTTGCCTTTGCCTTCTACCTTGGCCTGGATGCGAGGCATCTTATAACGGTAGAAAGCATCGCTGATGTTCCGGTTAACGTTGACGCTCCCCATGATGACGATTTCCGCTTCTTACTCCTAACTGGCTTGGCGATCCTTCTGAATAACAGCAATATCTCACGTGACGTCGTTGTGAAAAGGTTTGAAACAAAAGGCGATGAGAGGATCGGGTCTCTCTTGATTTCTCTCTCCCTCCCTCCCTCCCCTCTCTCTCTCTCTCTCTCTCTCTCTCTCTCTCTCTCTCTCTCTCTCTCTCTCTCTCTCTCTCTCTTTTTCGAGCGGCTCTCTCCTCAAGATGACGTTGTTAAGATGATGTTGGTGGCTCACGCGATTTCTTTCGTCTGTCCTTTCCTCTTTCTCTCCTTCAGGTGGGTAACGTCTTTGTCCGCGTTCTCCTAGATCTCCTCGCCACGTTCCTTAGCGGCAGTTTGGCAGCTGCGTGGCGACGTGGCCAAGCGACGTGGGCGGCTACCCGCTGGTAGCTGTATGCGACGTGTCGAGTCAGGGTGCTTCTTCTCGTTATCCGCGGTAAGGTTTGCCGCACTACCTGCTGACACCAGTCACGTTTCTCTGAACGGCTGTAGCTTCCGATGCCTATTACTGAAAAAAACAGGAGCTTTAGATAACTTAATGATAGAACATAACTCGACGAATGCGAGTAATTCTGGAGTCATAATTCGCAAAATCTCAGGACGAGACTTCGTGAGCAACGTGCAATAAAATATGTAGGATGCAAGCAATAAAGTATATAGGGTAAAAATTATTTTGCCCCTACAATTTACGTAGCGTTATTCTTAGGAATTTGACTTTTTTCAATGCCAATATTTATCGAGCGAATCATTATTTATGATAATCATGTCAATTATTTATAATAATTCTTCTACAGTTTCTAACATGACATATTTTTACGATATATCCTTTTCAATATATAATATAGCTAAGAAAATTCTATAAAAATTAAAATTTTAATTAAAATTCTGTCTATGTAAAACTGATTAAAGAGAATAAGTTTATTATTCATTTGATCGTGTAAAGCGCAGTTTTCCCAGAAAATACTGCCTTTTTTATTGTCAATATTTCAAAAACTATTAATACTTAGAAAACTATTAATTGGAAAAAAAAACTGTTATTGAATCAACAGAATTGGCTATAGAACATTGGCTATAATTGCATTTTCTTGATTCAATAGCATTATTATCAAAGCATATCATACATTATTTTAACTCAAACATTAGTTTCAATAATATTTCTATAGAATCAAGGAAATTTACATCAATTATAGCACGCACTGTTAATCAAACCTGGATTGGATGGATTTAACATTTTTTCTGCATATTTTATCATTTTTGCTATAAAAAAAATTGTTATACTTTTATAAAAACAAACACTATGTTAATAATAGACGCGACCTAGCTTCCTTATATAACATCAATTAGGAACTGGTTTTCTGAAAACACTCAATGTTTTCATTTAAGTTCAATTTTGTAAGTAAGTTTCTTTTACAAAAAAAAAAGATATACTAGAAAGGTTTTTTGTAATTCAAAAGTTGGACAACTTTTTGACAATTTCTTTTTTATACTTTCTGTATATATTGACGTGCAACGTGTCACGTGTGTTGTATTAACATTGCGCATTGTTTATATCACTTGTCGAGTTACTTTAGTTCATAATATTCTGAATTAGCCCATAACGAGCACTATGTATTGATGATATAGATTTAGTTAAGCTAGGTTAGGTTAGGTTGGGTTAGGTTTGGTTAAGTTATAGCGAATTCGGTCGCTTGCACTGGAGCACACTGAGTGCGATTAAGGTTTGTTCATAGTCCGTTCTTATACTTAAAATGGTTTCAAATACATTTTCATAAACTTCTTAGTCAACACACAATCCGTACGGATGTTATATAAAGCATTCTACTAGCCAAGAAGTATTTGAAGATGTATTTAAGATGTTCTTAAATGAAAAAAAATGGACTATGAACAAGCCTTACTCACATTCAGTGTACACCAATGCAAGCGGCCAAATTCATTATTAGATTAATTTTTCACGGATGAAAGGTGAAGCACATGAACTGTTTTGACATACATACCAACAAAGTATGTTATTCAATACTGAAGTTAACTAGCATGTCCTTCAAACTTCTTTTGTTAATAATTTCATAATAAACAATAAGCAACGGCTAATATTTTTGTCATGTTGCATAGATTAATGATTTTGATAATACATCAAGGTTAAGATCATTGCATAGAAATACATTAATATATACAGAAAATATGAAACATATGAATAATTAAAAAATACAATATGTGCAATATAATATAAAATATATGAAAACTTCAAAAGTTTCCCATCCTTGAGTTACAAAAAACCCTTCTAGTATATACTTGTTTCTTATCTAAAAGAAACCTTAATTTGATTTAAACCAAAGCATGAGCGTTTTGGACGTTTCATCTATCATACTCCATCAAACATGATTTATATTGTAAAATTTTTTATCGAAACATAACATTTATTTATTTTTCATAATATGTAAGCCGAATGTAACGACCTTTTTGTCAAGGAAAATTCGGCAGCAGGCTCGCTGAAACATTTATCGAAATTACCGACGGCGAATTAATCCATGTGAGATGTCTACCTGGAAAATTTTGAAGTCCTGTGTTTAGGCAGGACTAGATGATTCAAAAATCGTTGGGTGGTATCTTGATGCAGATGTTGCCTCCTCGGTTTGGTGGGCGGAGGGGGATAGTCCTCAATGATCATACACGCTGCCTGTCCGTCGCTCGTGGCTTTAAGAAGAAAGCCTGGATGGTACCAGGTTGCCGGAGTTAGCTCACTGGCTACGCGCAACAACAAACGACTGCACCGATCGTGGATGATGATGTTGCCGTTTGCTGGTATTTCGGATAACAGTATCCTACTGCCGCCGCCTTTGCTATACGCTGATCCTTTCCCTCTGGATGATATCCTGAATGTTTCTGCAAAAGAAAATGGGCAGATTAGTCAACCACTCTTCTGTGCTAATTCTCCCTATCCTCTTCTTCGTCCTCTCCCGCTCTCCACAAATTCTTTTGCATCATTTCACATGGATAATCGATTTTACTATTAATATTCTGTGAAATATATTAATTCCTTATATAAAATAAATAATTTTAGAAAATATTAATTTCGTAAAATGTTGATATTATTAAAGCTATTATGATATTTTACAAAATCTTAATTTTGTAAAATATTAACATAGTATGTTATGATAAAAGCATTCGAGTAAGGTCGCAGAAAAGTATCTTTCGTGAGATAATTCTCGCGTACATCTCGAATACATTTTGCAATCCGGATTATGCCAGAATACAAAAAGTCGCACGAAATATCCGCTTCTCGATCATCCTCGCCCTTTAACATTGCCGTCAATAAGAGAGTTATTTACGACTCTCGGCCCAATATTTCCGTCCTATTTATTAGATTATGAAAATCCGTGCAACTTTAATTGCTGTAAATTGATCCTTGCTTGGATAATACGATATCGGGATACTGAAGGATTTCAGGGCAAGCAGACATTTTCCCTCTCTCTCCCTCTTTCTTTTTCTGCATACAATTACACATCATCCGTGCGTCATCGGTCCGTACTACGTCGACTTTATTTCTTGCGTTCGAGTCTTCCCCGGTATCTGTGAGGATATCGGAATGGTTAAGTCAAGAGACAGAAAGAGAGAGAAAGAGAGAGAGAGAGAGAGAGAGAGAGAGAGAGAGAGAGAGAGAGAGAGATGCAGTTAAGAGAGTACAAAGTCTCCGACTACGACCAAGTTCAACAGTTCCCAACTTCACGACGCGACGACGGGAGAATTATCCTCACCGAGGAAACTAACCAGCTGCGAATCGCACAACTCTCGCGTACTGAACAACCGCAGGCCCGCAACCTCGCTTTAAAA